TTCATTCCTTTTTGCATCGTCATAGTGTATCCTTCCTATCACCCGTACACCGGCCTGACGCCGACTCCGCACGCACTATATATGACTCCTGTTTCTATTGGGATTGTGTCTTATCTGTGGAGTTTTGCTCCGATTTTTCAACATTTTTTGTATTGCTTTGCCACTCTCTTTCCACCCGTTAAATACGTAGTGACGCTCCCCCCCTATTTATTATTCTATTGTCATCCACTTTCTGCCTAAGAAAACAGAGGGCACATACCTTAATTTTTCCATTTTTTTACGCTCTTCCGTTCAAACTATCCTCCAAACAAGCTAAAAAAAGGGGGGGCTCACTCCAATGGCGGCGGCAACTCAAAATTGCCGCCGCCACCTCCCCCTCCTCCCTGGCTCCATGCTGTGCAACACGGGTGCCAATTGGCCACCGCATTGGGAGCAACGGGCGCGGGCCCGAGACTCGGCCAATCAGAAAGTGCCTTTCAAAAGCTGGTCGATGAAAGAGCGCAGGAGCTGCCGGGGAGGAAGCGTTGGCTTACGTCGATTCAGCGGCCCCAGTGGAGGGCGGGAAGAGGCGGGAGGCGGAGCGCACGGTGATTGGGTAACGACCCTGCACTCGCTCCCGTAGGGTCGAATGAGGTAAAGGGAGTAAGAATTTAGGCCAATCAGCGATGAGATCTCAGAATGAGCGCGCCTCACAGCCTTTCCTGAGCAGCCCCAGCATTAAACTAGTGTCTCTGTAACACATATCCTGATTGGTCTAAATCTCCCGCCCCTAGAGGAGTCCAAGCGGGTAAACTCACTAGAACCAATGAAGTGGAGGGTCAACAGACACCCCCCTCTTTCACTATTGCCTTTAAGAAGCCGGAAAGAGATGAATTCACGAGGGACCCGCCCCTTGCCGTTAGGGCGGTTTCAAAACAATCTGTCCACCAATCGCAATTACTATCTTATCTCACCAAAGCTCGTACAGTTGGGTCGCTTTAGGAAAAACTAACCAGATTGGCTATTCTTCAGCGGATAGCCTCACAAATTTCACTGTGGAGGGAGGTATATGAGCTAGTGATTAAGTAAATAAGTTATTCTTTTTTAAAAAAATGCTTTTATTGATTTCAGAGAGGAAGGGAGAGGGAGAGAAAGAAACATCAACGATGAGAGAGAATCATTGATCGGCTGCTTCCTGCACGACCCACACGGGCTCGAGGGGGCAACCGGGGCATGTGCCCTGAGCGGGAACCCAACCATGATTTCCTGGTTCATAGGTAGATGCTCACCCACTGAGTCACTCCGGCTGGGCTAGATAAGTTATTCTTGATCTGGAAATACTAGTTGACTCCAGTGAATCCTGAAGGTTTGATAATAGAGGCTAGAGCCAGGGGTGGGCAAACTTTTTGACTCGAGGGCCACAATGGGTTCTTAAACTGGACCGGAGGGCCGGAACAAAAGCATGGATGGAGTGTTTGTGTGAACTAATATAAATTCAAAGTAAACATCATTACATAAAAGGGTACGGTCTTTTTTTTTTTTTAGTTTTATTCATTTCAAACTGGCCGGATCCGGCCCGCGGGCCGTAGTTTGCCCACGGCTGGTAGACTAACAGCGTGAGAAAAGTAGTAAAGGAAATCGCACCCTCTCCCCTTGAAAGTAAATCTCAGGGCGCCTCCTGCCACGATTATAGCTTCGCTGCCATCTTCCTCTATGGTTGGTATTCCTATGGGTGCTCTGCATGCGACCATAGAGCCTTCCCCCGCCCCGCCCCCCGCCCCCTAAGGCCTCCAGAAGTTCTCGGGTCTCTACCCCAAATCCTTTAAATTGCTGTTCAGTATATCTGGCTGTTTGGCGTCCTTACTGACAAGCTCAAACACACAGGTCGGTGGTAGCTAAGCTTGTGTGTTTGAGCTAAATATGAGCGCCAGTTTCACAGTATCTAACCCTGCACCACCTGTCGCCTGGAACTGAACGGACACAAAACTTCTGTAAGATATACAACTGAGATACACATGTAAACGCCGGCTGCCCACTGAGCCTTACCTTAAACCCACAAAAGCCACACACAACCTCTATGTAGACAAAGGCACACACAACACAGATAAACATGTGACGGTGAGATCAGATCACATGCATCAATTCAAGGGACAATACACCAAACTGCAGTGTAGAGATGCCCACTAAGATCCGCACCGGCAGGAGGCGCCAAATGATAAAGGCACGGGGTATATTACAACACAAGCTTACACTACAGCAACCTAGACACACAGCACCCACTCAGAAGCCGGACAGACACTCACGTGGGCCCGGAGGTTCCAATCCAGACACCCCGCCCCTGGCCAACGTAACGTCTGACTTCCTCTCTCCTCCCAGCTTCCCACAGATTTATCCTAAAAAAGTTTGTGGCCCAGATTGAACTGTTGTCAGTGTCCAGGAGCTGCCACCGGGGGGCGTCCGGGCGCTGCCAAGGGCTCCTCCATTTGCGGTGGGACACACCCAGGAACTTGTGTCCGCCCTGCATGCAAAACACGGTGTGGGCTTGTCTCGGCAGGAGTTCCTTTGTGGGCTGGAGATTATTGGCGATCTCCTGTGCCTGTGTTGCTATGTGAATCTGAATGTTTGGGTCTGTGAGTACCTGTTGTACTCTATGTCTCTGTGTAACTGTACTCTTTGTGTTACTTTAGTTTCTTCCTAATGTTGGTGAGTATCTGCCTGTGCATCATGTTTGTTTGTATCTATAATTTTGTCTCTGTTGCTCTATGTGTCTGAATTTCAGTATCTCTGTATTTGTGACCAGGTGTATGCCCATTAATAGGTGTCTCTATGTGACCCTATATTTATGTGCCTATTCCTCAGTAGGGGTTTTGGAGAGTCTGCTTTTCTTTGTGTGACTTTTTGTCCATGTGCATGTTCATTTCTATCTTCTTTAAAAGATCTCTCCTGGATCCCATCAAACCCTTCTTTTTATGACGGAGAAACTGAGTTCCAGAGAGACCACATGATTGTGGAGAGAGACAAGAGAAAGAAGTGTGGTTACAAAGTTTTATGTGATATAAGCCCCTTTGGAGGTGTCAGAGTCCACACTCTGTACAGGGGGATATGAGGGACTGGCTCAGGGTGCGGGCAGCATGGCCCAAAAGGAGGAAGATTGTCCCCTGGGGAAAGGAGGCCTCCCTAATGCATTGCACAGGCTTGAGGGGGGAAAACCCCACATGAGGGGAGGAGGAAGCAGAGGTGGCTCGGGAGGGTCACATGGAATAATACTATAAAGTTAGAACCTTGGAACCTTGGAGTTCAAGACCTGTAGACCTTTAAAACCTTACATTTGAATTTTAGAACTGCAGTGCCTAGAATCTTAAGATTTAGAATCATGGATTCTTGGATCCTTAACTAAAATCCTAGAAAGGCAGAATGCAACATAGAGCTTAAAGGTGTCCAACATTAGAAATTATTAGAACTTTGGTATCTAGTTAATCACAACTAACTGTAGAGTCTTATACCTTTGATGCTGAGGACCCAGAATCTTGGACCAATAGAATCTAGAGTGCCTTGGAATACAGAACTTAACATTAGAATCTTAGATTTTAATAATCTAGGACCTTGAAACATATGATCTTGAATCTTAGACACAGAGAATCTAGGTTCTTAGACTAAGTCTTAAAACATCACATCTGAGAACATTAGACTTTAGAACCTCCATCTGTAGATTCTTAGAACTTTTGAATTGCAGAATCTAGAATCTTAGACCTTTAGGATCCAGAATCTCATAACAAGAGCTTCAAGGATCATAAAGCCTTAGAAACTCTAATTGACCATCATTAGAATCTTTTTTTTTTTAATTTTTTAAAAAAATTAATTTCAGAGAGGAAGGGAAAGGGAGAGAGAGATAGAAACATCAATGATAAGTGAATCATCGATCGGCTGCCTCCTGCACGCCCCACACTGGGGATCGACCCCGCAACCCGGGCATGTGCCCTTGACCGGAATCGAACCTGGGACCCTTCAGTCCGCAGGCCGACGCTCTATCACTGAGCCAAACCAGCTAGGGCATCATCATTAGAATCTTAGAACTTGAAAGGATAAAATCTTGAAGCCCTTATGCTCTAGACGCAGCGGTTCTCAACCTGTGGGTCACGAACAATGAAAATACATCCTGCATATCAGATATTTACATTACAATTCATAACAGTAGCAAAATTACAGTTATGAAGTAGCAATGAAAATAATTTTATGGTTGGGGATCACCACAACATGAGGAACTGTATTAAAGGGTCGCGGCATTAGGAAGGTTGAGAACCACTGCTAGAGTCTAGAGTCAGCCAGGGGATTTATACTCTAAGAGGCTTAGAACATCAAATTTTAGAACATTAGGCCTTAAAACCTCTATGTCTAGAATTCTAGAATTCTAGAACCTAGAGTCTTATACCCTAAGGAAAATGAAATCCAGCATCATTGAGTCTTAGTTCCTATGCCTAGAATCATAGAACTTTAGAACCCCAAAACTTACAGATTTTATCAAGAATCTTAAAAACAGGAAAATCTAGGGCCGTAGAATCTCAGAACTTTCAAATATAGACCTTAGAGCTTTCATGTCTAGAACCTTAGCACTTTAAAATTAGATAATTTGGAATTTCAGGTCCTTAGAACCTAAGACTCATAACGTCTTTGAAACCCAGAACCTAGGCTCTTTAAACCTTAGAATCCAAAATCTTGGCATGTTAGACTTAGGAGGACGCTTAGGGATTGCAGTCCAACCCCTTCCTTTTACACACGGGGACACTAAGATGTGGAAAGCGAGAGGATTTGTGTGAGATGGAAGTGGAATTGGTAGGAAGAGAGAGCTGCAGTTGTGAGTAAGGTCTGGAATGGGAACGTAGGTGGCAGTGCCTAGCTTGGGTCCTGAGAGGAAGTCCCAGGCAGAGGGTTGTCTCAGGCTCCATCCTCCTGCCCTGGTGGTGCTGGGGAGCCCCTGTCAGCAGGTAGGGTGGGGCCAGGGGCTGTAGAAGGGCAGAGGACATAGCGCCCAGCAGGATGGACCTCAGCCGCGGTGAGGCAGCTGCAGGAATCCTTAGGATCAGGCTGGGTTGGGGGATCAGCTCCTCCAGCAGCTCCAAGTGGTTCAGCATGACTCCCACCCTCATCCATGTTGACATAGAGGATTTCATCAGGCTCCTGGGCAGGTGGCAGGGTCTTTAGTGTGTTCTCCAGATCTTCCCGTAGCTGTGAAAAACTTGGCCGGTCCTGGGGGTTTAGCTCCCAGCACTGGGACATCAGGGCATACCTAGGACAGCAGAGTGAGGGGTGAGAGACTGAGCAGGGACTTAGAAGGGGAACATTCTGAGAGTTAGGGGGAAATTGAGGACACTCAGGGGACCAAGGACATTTCATGGGGCTGGAGGGAACTGTTACAGTTGGGGGCATCTATGGGGACTGAAGACTTCTCAAGAGTTTCTGAAGGATTTCGGGGACACTTGGGAGCTGGAAATGGTATTGGAAAACCACTCTACGTATGGGATGGTATTCTAGTGATAGTTTGCTACAGCAGAGCTTTCCAGTGTGGCTCCCCAGAACAGACTGGCATCAAAGACTTGCAAGCTGTGTTGATTTAAAATATGTGCTCAAATTCTTTGACATTCTTTTTTCCCCAAAAGATAGAACCTAATTTCCCTCCCCTTCAATGTGGACTGGACTTCTTGACTTGATTCTGACTTACAGCCGTGATGTTGTGTGTGACTTCTGAGACTAGCCTGTAAAAGGCATTGTGGTCTCCTCCTTGCTCTTTCCTATAGGATGCTCATCTGGGTGAGGCCAGCCACCATGTTGTGAGGAAGCTCAAGCAGCACTATGGCAGGGTCTTCATAGAAAAGAACTAAGGCCTCCTGCCATAGCCATGTGATTGAGCTACCTTGAAAACAATCTTCTAGTCCCAATCATCAGATGGCTGCAACCCCATCTTGACAGCAACCTCATTAGAAACCCTGACTCAGAATTACCCTGAATCTTGGCTGTAACCTCATTAGAAATCTTAATTCAGAATCACCCTGCCAAGCTGTTCTCAGACTTAGACCTTCAGAAACTGAAAGTAATAAATGTTTCCTATTTTGAGCTATTAGATTTGGGGGTATGGGTAACTAATACACTAGCTATGCAGCCTTTGGCAAGTGATTTACCATCTCTGGGCCCCAGTTTCTTCTCCTGCAAATAGGAATAATAATACTTCATGTGGCCATTTTAAGGACCAAATGAGTTAATATATGCAAAGCGCCTAAAACAGTGCCTTTGAGTAAGTTCTATAGAAACACTAGCTATTATTCTTGCTCCCCTCAGCTTCTGGACACCCAAGGAGGACCTGGGGAGCCTGCAGCCCCAGGCTATCCTCTCCTGGCCCAGCAACATCATGCTGGATAAATGTTCTGCTCTCTGGGTGTCAACAGGCGACAAAGTTTGATAAGCGCCATCCTAAAGAAGCCTGAGAGCATCTCATAGGAGGCTTGAGGGTTTGGGGAAGCTCGATATAACAACCTGAAGGATTTTACAGAGGGTCCTGGGGGTTGAAGAGCATCTGGTGAAAGCGTGGGTGCTCAGGAGTCTGGGATGGATTAGAATTCTTTGAGAGTGGGGGAGTCTCAGAGGCAGAGCCTCCAGGTAAGATGGTGTAGTTATTCACTGCTCATGGATAACTGGCTGAGGAGGCTGATCCAGCCTGCACTCCATGCACAAGGCAAAGGAGGAAAGGACACCTTTTGCTAATTCACACCCCTGTGGAGCAGGGGTGAGGAGGGCAGGTGGCCTCCTCAACAGTCTGAGGGATTCTGTACAGGTTTTATAGGGTCCTGGATATGTTTTGGAGTGAAATCTGGGATTAAGTGGAGATGGGGGAAGGGGGTCCTAAGGGTCCTCACAGTCCATCCAGACAGTCCACAGGCTGCTTCAGGCGGTTTCCCTGACGCAGGTAGTCATAAATCTCGCTGTTCTCCACTCCTGGATATGGGGTTTGGCCCCGAGTGGCAATTTCCCACATTGTCACCCCGAAGGACCACTGTGGAGGGCAGAGGGGAGAGAATTAGAGTGTTTCTCCTGTACAAAGACACCCCTGAACACACATTTATGCACACATGTGCACATAGCTATCTTTGTGGGTGCATCACAGCTATTCACAGAACCACTTTGGCACAGGTACACCCTCATAGAGGTAACTTTTGTGCACACAGACATGCTCACCCATGCACACATTTATACACTTAATGGACACATGGTCTCATGTGTCACCCTCCACAGCCTGCCTATACACATGTATACATACTTACCACCACCTCTTATAACCTTAACTGTCTATATGTCCCATGTAGAACCTGCCACCATGCACACATGGACCTGTCCACATCCCTAGCATGTCCACAACACTGTTCATAGTCACCCACCATAACTCAGACATGAGTAGCCCACGTGGACAGGTCCCTGTGAGCCCAGGTGCAGTGTGAGATGATTAGGCCACACCCTCCTGTTGTACCCACTCCTATCAGAGGGGCACATACCACATCACTCTTGCTGGTGTAGACACGGTCAGCCAGGCTCTCAATGGCGATCCACTTGACTGGCATCTTGGCAATACGTCCCTGGCGGTAGTAGTCCCCATTGTAGATTTTTTTGGAGAGCCCGAAGTCTGCCACACACACGGACATGTTCTCATTCAGCCTGCCAGGATTGGGGAGAGGAACAGGGTCATGACATGGGTTCTCCACCAGGAAGCCTACTCTCACTCTCAGACATCTCTATCTCCACCCTGGCTGTCCTGCTTGGGATTAGGGCCTGTCTCTCCTCCTTGCCCCAGATTTGGAAGGAACTGCGTTACTTCTTGTTTCCTCCATAAAATGAGGGCGGGACAAAAAGCTACTGAGGGCCTTCCCAGCTCTGGCTTTTTGCCAAATTCTAAAGTCCTTCCTAAGCTCCTTGAGTTTGATTATCTGTTTTAAAAACAAAACAAAACTGTTTTCTTGATGTATAATATATATGCACAAATCTGAATTTTCACAAACACACCCATGGAATCAGCGCATAGATTAAAGAAACAGAATATTATGGGACACCCATACAAGGGATATTATACAGAAAACAACAACAAAAAGAACAAACCACTGAAACACACACACACACACACACACACACAATATGGACCAATCTCAAAAACATCATGCTGAGCGAAAGAAGCCAGACACCAAGGAGTACAAACTGCATGGTCTCATTTGTGTGACATATAAGGATAAGGGACAGCAGAGCAGTGAGGGGAGGAGGATTTCAAGATGGTGACTGTAGTACTGGCTGTGGCTGTGGTGATGACCTAGCCCTGGGTCAGCAGAGTTGAAGGTGGTGGTGTTTGCTCTCCCGAGGGGCCATCAGGAGCTCAGCGGGGACCGAGCCTAGGCAGTTGGCGGTGGTGCCAGCACCTTTCGGCTTCTGGGACAGCTGCGGTGGCAGCGGCGTTCAGGTTCTAAATGGTTTCTAAGTTGAGTGCAGATTTTCATGGGACTTTCAGTTGCTTTGATGATGTCCCATTTAAGATCGGAGACAAATTCAAAACACCAGCTAAAGTTGATCTACCTATTGGCTTCTCCTTGCCTGATTGTTTGCAGGTTGTCAGAGAAGTACAGTATGACTTCTCCTTGGAAAATGAAACCATTGAGTGGGCTGAAGATATTAAGAAAATCCAAGACCCAGCGGGAAGCAGAGGGTAAGGTTGAGGAAGCAGAAGCTAAAGTGAATTCTAAGAGTGGCCCAGAAGGCGATATCAAAATGAGCCTCCCCAAGACTCACAGCACAGCCACAGTGCCACTTCCTATTAACCCCATCCTTGCCACCTTCAGCACAACAGCATCCTCACCCCTACTCGGGTCAGCAGCAGTGCCACGAAACAAAAAGTTCTCAGTTCACCCCACACAAAGGCAGATTTCAATCCTGTTGACTTTGAGTATGAAGAAGACCCATTTGATAATCTCGAGTTAAAAATTATTGATGAGAAGGAAGAGCTGAGAAACATTCTGGTAGGAACCACTGGCTGTTATTGGACAGTAACTTGCCTAGAGGAGGCTCTGGGTCTGTATTACAGGCATCCCTGGAGCAGGCAACACTATTTTCAAGCCTCTTCATAAACCCAATGGCTTTATAACCTTACCACAGTTGGGCAACTGTGAAAAGATGTCGCTGTCTTCCAAAGTGTCCCTCCCCCCCATTCCTGCAATAAGCAATATCAAATCCCTGTCCTTCCCCAAACTTAACTCTGATGACAGCAATCAGAAGACAGCCAAGCTAGCAAGCACTTTCCTAACACATTCTGCCTCCGAAATGGCACTTTCCAGAATTCCCTAAACCTTCCACCCAAAGCAGTGCAGTGAGTTCAATGGGCATCAAAATCTTGGGCTTTCAGCTTTGAACTTAGACAGTGGCACAGAGGTGCCAAACCTGACCCTTTCTGGTATGATTTCCCAGATGCCTTCCCTCTCTGTCTTGTCTGTGTGTACAGAAGAATCGTCACCTCCAAATATAAGTCCCATGGTCACACCTCCTAATCTCTCCATGTCACAAGTGCCCAACACTCCCAGCTGTCCCCAGTCTTATTCTGACCTGCAGACGCTGTCCCCTGTGAGCAGTAGTGTGTGGAGACAGTGGTCAACATGGGCTACTCATATGAGTATGTCCTGAGAGCCATGAAGAGGAAAGGAGAGAAATCCGAGCAGATTCTTTACTATCTTTGTATATAGACAGCTCTGTGGGAAGGGCTTCGACCCTCTTTTAGTGGAAGAGGCTCTGGAAATACACCAGTATTCAGAGGACAATATGATGGAGTTCCTTCAATTAATTAGCAAATTTAAGGAAATGGTCTTTGAACTGAAAGACATTAAGGAAGTTATGCTTTTACATAACAATGACCAGGGTAATACTTTGGAAGACTGCATGGCTCAGGCTGAAGCCAGCTGAGACGAGGCCCTGCTTAAGCTCTTCACCTGTGGGGAAGGAGAAGGGGCACAAGTCCAGATTTTCCTTTGGGGATGGAGGGTCAGTGTGCTTGCCAGTCTCTATGAGTCTAGGCCGGGGTGGGCAAACTTTTTGACTCGAGGGCCACAATGGGTTCTTAAACTGGACTGGAGGGCCGGAACAAAAGCATGGATGGAGTGTTTGTGTGAACTAATATAAATTCAAAGTAAACATCATTACATAAAAGGGTACGGTCTTTTTTTTTTTTTTAGTTTTACTCATTTCAAACTGGCCGGATCCGGCCCGCGGGCCGTAGTTTGCCCCCGGCTGGTAGGCCCTGAGCTGGGGAGAAGGTGGGGAAGATTTGGGCATGTGAATGCCCTTAAAACTGTCCTGGTTCCTTCCATATTAAATGTATTTGTATTTTGAGAAGTGTCCTTCCCACCTCGGCCCGCCAGAGAGGCCCTGGGTTCAATTCCAGTCCAGAGCACTGCCTGGGTGTGGGCTCGATCCCCACTAGGGGGTGTGCAGGAGGCAGCTGATCAATGATTCTCTCTCATTGTTGATGTTTCTATCTCCCTCTCTCTTACTCTCTGAAATCAATAAAAATATATTTAAAATAAAAATGAAAAAGTTGATATTGAAAAACAATAAATAAAAATAAAAATAAATAAATAAATAAATAAATAAGAGAGACTACAGGGGCATAACAATCAAATGCAACGTGGGAACCTTGAATAGATCCTGTTTTAGAGGGAAAAATAGCCCTAAAGATATTTCGGAAGACAATTGGAAGAATTTGAATATGGATTGGATATTAGATTATGTACGAAATTATTGATAATCTTCTTAGATGTGATAACAGAATTACTGTTTTTACTTAGGCATAATTCCTTACTCTTAGAAAATACCTACTGAAGATTTAGGGTGAAGGGTCACCATCTTGGCAACTTACTTTCAAATGGTTGAGGGGAGAGAGAAAAAGAGAATAGAGGAAAATGGCAAAATCTCAACAAGGAGGGTATATGGGTGTTCATTATACAAGTCTTTCAACTTTTCTGTAGGATTGAAATTTTTCAAAATAAAAAGTGTTCGGGGGGAATAAAATGTTTTCTATATTTCTGAGAGTTGTGAACATTTACACATTTTATAACAAATACTCTGATTCTTCAGCTCCAATTTCTATGAGTCCAACATTGTAATGAGACTAATATTCTAAGCCTGTATTTACACACACACACACACACACACACACACACACACACGCACACACACATGTCCATTAATGGGGGGAGGGGTCTAGTCTCCTTATCCAATTTGGCCCCTCCCCAAGGGCAGCCCCAGACAAGACACTCAGCATAGAGAGGGACAGAAATGAGGCTTAAATGTCACCACCCTCATCGGTCACCTCTGCCCCTTTGCTCACTCATGTTGCCCACTGAGCCCACCCTCTTGCCTCTTCTCTCTCCACATTCAAATACTCCTTTAAGATTTCAGTTCATGGCCCATCACCTCTAGGAAGCCTTCCCCAATCCCCTTGCTGACCTCTCTATCCCAGTCCTGAATTCTGACCTGTGCAAAGGGTATGTGTGTGTGTGTGCCTAGCTCCCTTTTTCATCCTGAGAAGGAGGAAAGGAGCTCCCTATAGGGTTTAGGGTGTCCCTGGAAGACTCAACACTCACATGCAGTTCCTGGCGGCCAGGTCCCGATGTATGAATCTCTTGGTACTCAAATACTCCATGCCACTGGCAATGTCTGCCATAAACTTCACCAGCATCTGAGTGGGCAGGAACTAGGGGACCAGGGCAGGAGAGAGGTCAGTTGAGTTCCTGAGACCCATCCCTCCTTCCTTCCCCCTTTCCTTCCTGTGTGTGCCTAGCTCTGCCCTGCAATGGTTTCCCATGGCTACAAGAATTAAATCTAACCCTTTCTAACAAGGCCCTATATAATCCCATTCTGCCTTCCTCTGTGACTTAATCTCCTACTGTTCTTGCCCTCGACATACACTCCTTCCAGGGGCCTCCTTTCTAGTCTTCAAACAAGCCATGCTTGTTCCCACCTCAAGCCTTTGCCCATGTTCCCTTCAGGATTGCTTCCTCCCAGATCTCTCCACCTCCCACCGGCTGGCTCCTCTCCTTAGTGAGACCTCCTTGTCTATCCAAACTAATTGCCTGGCCTCCTCTCATTCCTCTTACTCTATAATTCCTTCCTAGTACTCAAATCATCTTGCCTATTTATTTGTTAACTTGTTTATTGCTGTCCCCCCACTGGCAGACAGTTCCATGAGAGCCAGTTCTTGGTCACCATGTTCTTCCCAGTGTCTGAGTAGCACCAGGTACCTGGTAGGTGCTCAATTAATACTTGTAGATTATTAAAACTTGTAGATGATTACATGCCCTCACCACTGGCTGGTCCCCGAGTCGAGAATAGAGAAGGAAGCTGTGTAGATCTCCATGTTTCATGAAAGGTAAGATGACCACAGGTGCAGGGAAGCCATCTAGTTCGGAACCCTGGAAACAAACGCCTGAGTCCCCCAGGCAACCCTGTCACTCCAGCTGGACAGAAAGGGAAGCCACCCCCTCTCCCAGCTCAGTCTGTCCCTCTCCCTCAAATCTGGCCTCCAAATTGTTTTAGGGGTGGCAAGGACCAAGCTTCAGAGAAGACATTTCCAGCACTGTTCCCAAGGATGTTTCCCCAGTCCTCCTGGGGACCTCAGCTATTTCTGGGAAAGGTCACAGGTCACATTCCAAGCTGAGGGAGAGAAGGAGGGGGCAGTTTGCTGGCTCTGAGGGAGGGGGAAACAAGGGAGCTTGGAGCTTTGATCTTCCCAGTGCCAGAGGGATCTTCCCTTTAGTGTTGCTCCCACAAAGCCTGTAGGCCCCCTAAATCTGCTGTCCCTCACCGATGAGCCTCATGACATTTGGGTGGTCAAATTCTTTCATGCAGACAGCTTCACTCAGGAAATCCTCCAGCTCCGACCTTGTGCAGATGGCAACTTGGGGGAGAGAGGAAGGAGGGTAAGAAGGAGGGGATGAGAGGGGAAGCAGGGGAGGGAGTATTTCCCCTCTTCCTCCTCTCCTTCACTATCATCATCATCATCATCTTCTTCATTAAACATGACTGTTAAGTGCCAGGTGCTATACTCAGAATTTTACATGTATTAACTCATTTAATCCTCTGAGGTGTTCCTATTATTTTATCCATTTTAAAGGAGGGAAACCAAGGCACATAATGGTTAAGGAACCTGCCTGAGGGCATACACAGCTTGCAGAAGGAATAGGCAGAATTCAAAGTCAGACTCCGGGTCCAAGTGCACACACCACAGTAGGCTATGTCCCAACACATTTCCAATAGCAGTGGGGGTCTGTGTGATTTTTCCTGTTTTACAGCTCAGGAAAGTGGCTCACAGAGGCAAAGTGACTTGCCCAAGGCCACACAGCTGGGATTGAAACCCAGGTCAAGAACATAGGAGATGTTCAAAAACGACTGAGTGAGTGACTAAGTGATGACTGCATAACCCAAACTTTTGGCCCCAGTGATTCAGAAGGGATTGTTCCTCCCTCACCTCCAGCCTGACCCTCTATGCTTTTTCCCTGTATGGAAATGATTTCCTGCCGTGGACTTCCTGTGCTGTGTGGCCCTGGACTGGCTCGCACCTTCTCTGATGATATAAATAGTATAGTCACAGTCCACATCAACTGCATGTACTACGTTCCACACCTAGCATTAAGTGCTTTGTCTCACAACATCCTAGGACAGTGGTCGGCAAACTGCGGCCCCTTGCGTGTGGCTTTTTGCCGGAGTCCATTCATTGTCTTCACTAGCTGAGTTTAGACAGAGACCCCCAAAAGCTAGTAACCTTTGAAGTCCTAACAAAGGTCAGGACTGCGCACCACCCAGTTAATCTAGGAACCACCCAGTTAATTTAGGTAATAATAGTTGAAGCATCATCCCCACCTTAGTTCACTTAATTCCTTAGATACTTATGTAGATCCTTGTTGATTATTGTTGATCAGATACTCTGCCTATTCCTGGAAATCTATCTATTGATGAGCTAATCAGATACTCTGCCTATTCCTGGAAATTGTCTGATCTGTGTGTCATTGAAACCTCCTTACCCTAAGGGCTACTCCAGATCAATAAAAGATTGGAGCGGCCTGAGCATCGGTGGAAGTCCTTTGGGACTTGCCCGCCTGGTCCCCCAATATTGCAAAATTATCTCGTGTCTTTTTCTCTCATTTGTTGTGCGGCTCCTCTTTCAGATACCGAACCCTACTCCATGCAGAACGTGGAGGGAGTGTTACTCGACACTCTTCCATAAAATACCACGTGCAGGTGCGCACGTACAGTGAGATTGAAACTTCGTGGCCACACTCAAGGGGCCAAAGAGCCGCATGTGGCTCACAAGCTGCAGTTTGCCAACCACTGTCCTAGGAGGTAGGGCCATTATGATCCTCTTTTCCACATGAGGAATGGGAGGCTCAGAGAGGGATAGTCACTTGCCTGAGATAACACTGCTGGTAAATGATGAAGCCAGGTGTACCTCATTTCGGATCTTTCTTGCTCTGCTATGTATCACAGGGGGCTGGCCCTTGAAAACTACATTTCCCAGGCTCCCTTTCCTACTGGCTTGTTGTTGGACTTTGCCAATGGGAAGCACTAATGGGAGACTGGCAGGTGGACAGGAAGGAGGAGGGGAGAAGCCAGGGTATTTCACCCAGTCTTGTAAGGCTTCCAGTATTTCCTTGGTGGTGGCTGTGTCTCCTTTGTGTTTCAAGCTCCCACGAGGTTTCCGCTAACTCTGTGATTCCCAAACCCTGACAGGCGTCCCTGGCCATGGGCTCTGGTAATCCTGGTCATTCCTCCCTCTGCCCTTCAGGCCTAGAGGTGGGAATGACTACTGCTGCTGCTAATCTCCAGGTTGTGTCACTGCTCCCAGGTGTTCCTTCAGTCCTTCCTACACCTTTGTAGTAATCTCACCATATTAAATTTCTCCCGTTGAAGTACCTAGCATGGACTTCATTTCCTGCCTGGAAACACTGAGGTTCTGTGGTAAAGCCAATTTGCTGTTAACTCTTCTGCTCTTCTGCCTCCTTTGGGGCATTGGGAAGGATAGGCTAGGGGATGGGGGTCCCACATGTGTGCACAGACTCACTCTTCATTGTCTTCACAGCCACCTTGAGGATGGAGTCATCCTGGTTGAGCTGGCCCTCCATCACAGCTCCAAACTCTCCTGTAGGGGACCAGAGGGAGACACTGACCTCAGGGGGGCTCATAGGGGTTGCATTTTCGTGTGGTTGGGTGGACGTGGGGAAGTGAAGGACTCCTTAGTTCAGGGGGATATACATGTGTGCCAGGGGGACTCACCTTCCCCCAGGGTCTTCCCCAGGGCCACCTTATGCCGGTCCACCATCACATCCCGCAGCTTCTCCTTCAACTCTTCGCTGATTCCCAGGCTGTTCACTGCATGGGGAGTGGGGATGACAGAGCCATAGAGCTGGGCTGACATTTACATGCTCAGAGATACTTCTGCATTTATTCAGAAATAGCTACTGTCCTGAGCACCCTCCACTCCCACCCTAGCTCCTCCTCTAGACCCCTTGAATATTCCCCAAGAGGGGCACCTAAAAGGTTGGAGCCTGTCACATAATCTCACATCAGTGGGCACATTGATTGGTTAGTGTTCTGCCATACCAGTTGTTCATAATATTTATTAAAGTTTTATTGAGGTATATAATCTGTAGAAATCATAAGTGACCAGCTCAATGAATTTTCACAAACCAACCCAGCAATCTAACTAGCACCCAGGTCAAGAACAGACCATGGCCAGAACCGGTTTGGCTCAGTGGATAGAGCGTCGGCCTGCGGACTCAAGGGTCCCGGGTTCGATTCCGGTCAAGGGCATGTACCTTGGTTGCGGGCACGTCCCCAGCGGGGGGCGTGCAGGAGGCAGCTGATCAATGTTTCTCTCTCATTGATGTTTCCGGCTCTCTATCTCTCTCCCTTCCTCTCTGTAAAAAATCAATAAAATATATTTAAAAAAAAAAAAAAAAAAAAAAAAAGAACAGACCATGACCTACCCTCTCAGGGGTGGCCACTTTCCTGACTCTCTTACCATAGATTAGTCTTCTCTGTTTGGGGATGTTATAAACATAGAATCATATATTGTATTCTCTTTTGTGTCTGTCTTCTTTCACTCAACCCGATGTCTACGACACAGTTGTCGTAGTTATAATTGATTCATTGTCATTGCTCTATAGGAAGAGTTCCCAAACTTATTGGCCTCAGGACCCCTTTACATTCTTAAAATTATGGAGTTCTGCAAAGAGCTCTCATTTACGTGGGGTATGTAGAAAGTGTCCCCCAAAAATGTATACACACTTTAACTGCTGATAGCTCAATTGACTTTTCTTTCTTTTCAGATTTAACCCATTGGAATGAATAATTATTCAAAGTATGTATTGCCCTAGCTGGTTTGGCCCAGAAGATAGAGTGTCAGCCTGCAGACTGAAGGGTCCTAGGTTCCATTTTGGTCAAGAGCATGTACCTCGGTTGCAGGCTCCCAGCCCTGGTCGAGGGCATGCAAAAGGCAACCAGTTGATGTGTCTCTCTCATATTAGTGTTTCTCTCTGTCTCTACCTCTCCCTTCCGCTCTCTCTAAAAATCAATGGAAAAAAATATCCTTGGGTAAGGATTAAAAAAAACCACACACACAAAGAAACAACAAAGTGTGTATACATTTTTGAGATATCCTGTCTATTGATATTTACTGTATTCAAAATTAAAGCAAATAGATTTTTAAAAAAACAGGAATACATAAGCACACATTCTGTCAACCAACAGAGTGATGACATCATCACACATTAGAAAGTTCCTGGAAAACTCCATGGAATCCCTGTGAGAAAGTGAGAGTGCAAAAGGGCAAAACATATCTTGATATTATTATGAAAATAGTTTTGACCTTATGGACCTCCTGCAAAGATCTCAGTGCCCCCCAGGGACTGGATCATACTTTGAGAATTGGTGCTGCATGTGACTCCATTAGATGAGTGTGACCTGCTCACTTCCTCTTCTTTGTCCTCTTAAATTAATGGCTTTTCCAGCCCCTTCTGAAATCTCCTTGGGGCCTGGAAGCCTTCTCACTGTGTGCTAGGAAGAGACCTAACTCTGCCCCCTCCTTTTTTCCCCTGGATTTAGGTTTCCCCAATGGAAAGATGAAGAGATTTGACTGGGTGGCCTCTGAGCTCCTCCGTAGCTGGGACCCTCCATAACTCTACAGTCCTCTAACAGAGAGCCTATAGTTTTAAGATTCTATAATTTTCAAGACCCTAAGAGTCTATAGTACTGAGCCTATAATTTTTTAGGCCAAGATCTATTCTACCTCTCTCACATCCTATAATTCTAAGAGGCAGTAAAGAAGATGGACTTCAGAGCCAAACTACCTGGGTTAGAATCCCAGCTCTCCAACTGACAAGCTGTGTGGCCTTGACCAAACATCTTAACCACTCTATGCTACCATTTCCTCATCTGTGAAGTGAAGGGGGAATAACATGCCTACCTCACTGGATTGCTCTGAGGATTAAATTAAGTGACATGTGTAGAGCATTTAGAACAGTGCCTGTCACATAAGAAATGTTAGGGTTGGCTGTCATTATCAGCATCATAATCATAACATCATTGTCATTTTAACGATCAACACATTGTTCTAATATCCTATGGCTCTGAGGTTTGGTCTTCCAAGATTTATTGTGTCTAAGATTCTATCGTTCTAAGGTTCTTCTGTGTGATTCTACAATTCTGTTGTTCTTAGAGTCTGTGGTCCTAACATCCTAGTATTCCAAGGCCTTCAGAAATGTTTGGTTCACGTATATACAGAAGACTGAATCTCTACACTTATTATCCCCAAACCAGGGCATGGAGGCATGGAGTTCACTTACAGGTGGCTTCAGTGGTCCGGCGACTGTAGGACTTGCGAACGCGATACCTGACCACCAGCTCGCCCCTCTCCACTGTTGGTTCAAACACCTCTCTGGGGCGGGGGGGGAGGGTAAAGGGAATGGGGAGGAGGTGAGGGTAGAGCCATGTGGAACCCCCTCCTTCCACTATCAGTGAAAGCAAGCACCGTCCCAATCCCAAGTCCTGCCTTTCCTCTCCTCCAGCGTTTGCTGAGCATATCTTGGACTGCTACCTTCTTCCTTCCATTCATTCCCCAGACCCTCGCCCTAATTCCAGTTCTTGGTAATCTCTCCTCCTGCACTAGCCTCTCCATGGTCTCCCTGCTTCCAAGTTCTCCATTCTAGTCTATGTGAGCCTCTCTACTCACAGAGTTCCAACTCACCCATAGCGGGTCTCTTTCTTCCGCCGATGGATGAGGAACAGGGCCAAGATGAAGACACAGGCAGCGGCCACAACTGCTCCCAGCAGTACATACCACCAGGGCCATGAGAAGGAGGGGGCTGGAGGTTCACTCACTGTCAGGGTATGGGGGACAGGTCATGGCTAAGGCCCTGTGTCCATCTCCCTGAGGCCCAAGGGGGTGATGTTGTAGGGAGCAGATGTGGATATATTTGATTAAGCCTATCATAGGTGCATTCACATATATGGGGAGACTGGACTGGGCTGGGCAAGGCATGCAATGAATGTGATATGAGTGAGTGTTAAAGTAAGAGCATGAGACTTGTAGGGTGGCTGAGGTGACTTAAGAGTGGGATGGACAGTTGAGGAGTGTGTGATGAGTGTGAAAGGAGTGTGGGATGGGTTATAATAATGCAAGGAGGGCCCTGGCCAGTGTTGCTAAGTGGTTAAAGTATTATCCTGTGGACTGAAGGGTCACAGGTTCAATTCTTGGTCAAGAGCACATACCTAGGTTACAGGCTCGATACCTGGCCCAGGTCAGGGTGCGTGCGGAAAGCAACCAGTCGATGTGTCTCTCTCACATCAATGTTTCTCTCTCTCTTCCCCCTCCCTCCCTTCTTCTCTCTCTAAAAATCAATGGGAAAAATATCCTCAGGTGAGGATTAACAACACAACAAAAATAATGCAAGGAGGGCTGATGAACATGAGATGGGTGTGAGTAAATTGCTAGTAGAGGGGTGTGTGATATATGTGATAATTGTGCAAGAAGGGGAACTTGGGTGTGGATAAACAGGCGAGTAGGGGAGAGAATGCATGCAGTGTAGGATGGGTGTATGAGGCATCTGCATTAAGTATGCAAGAACAGTGAGGCTCCTGGGATAAATGACCAAAGAATATTTTTGAGGATCATGTGATGACTGTGGAAGGGTTTTCACTAAGTGAGGATGAGAGTGAAGTAAATGTGCAAAGGGGTGTAGTGTGCAAAGGAATGTGTACAGGGTGCGGATGGATGTTGAAGGAATTGGGGGTGTGTGAGTGAAGAGTATTCAAGGAGTTTTAGATTCAAGGAGTGAGCAGTGATTTGTAAGAATTAACTTTGGTGTGAGAAGAGTGTGCAATGAGCATGTAAAATGTGTGGGAAGGACAGATGAGCCAGGGATGAATAAAAAGGGTGTGCAAATAGGGTGGGAGTGGGTGAATAAGAAATAGAGAATGGGAATGTGTTAAGTGTGCCAGGAGTTTGTGTGGGTGTGTGCAGAGAATGGGGATGGGTTAGGATTACCTAGCGGTGAGGGAGTAACATGGAAGGAGTATTGGATGAGTCTACAAGGAGAGTTGTAGAGTGTGGGATAGTGTGGACTGAAAGTTTTTCAGTGTTTGCAATGTGGAATGTATGGTGTGTGTGTAAAAAGTGTGCACAGAGTTTGTGAATGAGAGGTGTGGGAAGCATTAGGTTTTGGAGGCATGTGTAAGGAATGAAGAATTATAATGGGATGAACATGAAAAGAGGGTGGGTTAGTGTGGAAAGGGTATGCAAAGAAGTGCAGAAAGACGTGAAAGATATTTAAGGATAGTGGGATGAGTTATAAGAGGTGGAATGGAACGGTGCTAGGAGGATACAAAGGGAGTAGGAGGAATGTTTGAGTATTGTTAAGAAATATTTGAGAAGGATGAATGTGAAGGGGATAACTCATCCACTGTTCCTTCCATCCATCCATCCATCCATCCATCCATCCATCCATCCACCCATCTACCATTCACTGAGTACCTACAATATGCTGGGCTATTCCAGGCACCTCCATCAAGGACCACATAAAAACAAGAAATAGAGGATTAGAGTGATGAGTCTGAGAAACATGAAAGGGATGTGTAAAGCATATGAGTGTGGTGATAGGGTCCTCACTGGGAAGGGAGGGAGGTGAGGGGATGCGAAAGCCCTTACCCAGCTGGTGCACTGGCTGTCTTTGCCCTGTGAGGAGAAAGGACAGAGGGAGGACATGCTCAAGGAGGGCAAGACTGGTGTGACGCAGGTGAGGGTGTGAGGCTCAGTAAGATTCTGATAGGAACAGAGCCTAGATTGGGGCAACACTGAAAGTTGCAGAGAGCAAGTCAGGAGCATCTTGGGGAGTTAAGGTTCTTCTGGGTACTTTGAAGGGGGCTGACATGACTTTGGAGTTACCTGGGCGCCAAAGCTCTAGGGGCACAGGGAGGCTCCAGGGTCCATCTCCAGAGGCGGTGTAGGCTGCCACACACACCGTCAGGTTGGGCACAGTCCTGTCCTCCCGCAGCTCCAGGGTCACCTCTTGCTTTAGTCCTATGTCCATTAGCACCTAGGACATCCAGACTTAGCATCAGGGTAGAGCCCCAGGTTCTTAACGCTTAGGCCTCAACTCCCCAACCTTCTGTAAACCTTCTCATCTCCAATACCTTCTTCCCTTCTTCTTCCTACCTTTTCATCCCCACTCCTTTTATCACCATCCCCGTGCCCACTAAAATATCAGTTCCACTAGGACAGGACTAGGACAGGACTTTGTCTCATTCACTGCCATGTCCGCAAGCCCTACAACAGTGCATGGCACATAGTACTTATGCTGGAAACTGAATTCTCATCTTTCACTCTCATCTCTCCAGCCCCTTCTAAATCTCACCCTTTTTCCCACCCTACTTCTCCACCCCAGGGATGCTGTTTGCACAGATAATATCTTTGTGCAAATTAGAAAAGGCATCCCTTCCTCAAGATGCTATACAACTATCTGCTGTAACATCGTCACGGGAAAACATGGAGGCTCCTGGGATAAATGACCAAGGAAACATGTCCACTGAAACACTATAATGATTCATAAATAGCCATTCCATCCCCTTCCCCTGGACCCCTTTACCCTTCCCACAATGTGCTCTCCTCTGCACTAACCAACCTGTACAACTAACTGTCCATATCTGCCCTGTCATCTTCTCCTCCCCATTTCCCTCCTTCTCAGCTCCTCTCCCCAACCCCAGCCAGCAGCACCCACCTCAGGAGTGTCCTGGCCTCGATAGGCCAGCCGGTACCCTAACAGAGTGCCCTGCAGGGGTGCCATTGGCTTCTGCCAACGCACGATGGCTTGGCTCCCATTCCGTATGGCGGTAACGTTCTTAGGGGGGCCCAGAGGCACTGGAGGACAGGGAAGAGGGGAAGCTGGCACCCCTACCTCTTCCTGACTTCTCCCTGACCCCAGGAAGTGAAGGCAGGGTGCAAAGAGCATGCACATGGGCAACTCATGCAGGCCTCCCAGGAGCGGAAGCATAGGGAAGAGTTCCGGGAGAGATGCCAGTGCTGTGCTGAGGAGTGGGGACTGAACAGGAAGGAGATGGAGGCCACATGGGGTAAATGGGTGAGAGGAGATGCTGAGGGTGGCACTGATGTGAGCAAGGTCCAGGGGGCAGAGGGCAACGTCTCCCCCACCAGCCCCTTCTTACCTCCCTCAGGCGTCTCCACGGGAAGCCAGTGGGTCCAGGGTGAGGGGCCCTGGCTACTGGCACATGCCACCCTGATGTGATAAGGACTGTGAGGACGGAGGTTGTCCAGCTGTAGTTTGTGAGGGGGGACGGATACTTGC